GCAGGAGGAGGAGGAGGAAAGAGCAGGTATCTGGTGAAGGTAGCCAGACCTGTTTTGTGCTAGCCCCCTCCACACTCCCCCACCTCATATGAGAGGAAGCGCTGGGCTCATTTGGGAGCCTTCCCCTGGTCTGGCCTCTCTTGGCTGCTGGGAGGCTGTGGGTCGCGTCAGGTTTTGGAGCAATGAGGCTGAGCGACACCCTAGTTGTCAGATGGGGCTGGACAGCTCATTGAATGTGGGGAAGTATCACCCTGGCATAGGATAAGGACTGAAGACTGAGAAGCAAGGGGGCTTCTCAATGACCATCTGTTTCTTCTTCATTCCTCCCCTTCCCCCCCCCCCCCAAAGCAGCTAGCTGCTGTCTTGACACCTGAAAAAGTAAAATGCAAATCACATATGAACACCAAATGAGTTTCAATTATTATGTTCATGTAAAGAACCCCCCGGCCCAGAGGTACAGGAGGTCCACGAGGATGTTGAGGGGCATGCTGCTTCCCCAGCAGGAGGCCCGTTCTTGGCTTCTTCCCCTGGCTCTTGTGACTTGCTAGGATGGGTGGAATCCCATGTTTTTTGTTGGTGATGTTTGGAGCTGATTTGTAGGTCTGTTCTGTTGGCGCATTTGCCCAGCCACCACCGGCAGGCAAAAATTTCTCTCTGGAGGACAGCCTTTCACCGAGGCACCAGGAGCCTGGGGTGGGCGGTAGTTGTCCTAGAGAAGGCATGGGTTCAGTGCCTCATGGGGATGCTCTGGGGCTGATGACCCAAAGGGCCAGGGTTGGACCAGATGGTTTTCCTGCAGGGCGGACGCTCTGCCCCGATCTCAGGTTGTTCTGCTTGGCCACCAGTTTTCACAGTCTCCCAGCCAGCATCTTGGAGTCATCGTCCTGAGAGCAACTTTTCCTGAGCTCTGGCTTTGCCCCATCCCCACCCAGCCTCTTCCTGAAGTTGACCGATGAGGAGAAACCTCCCTCTGTGATGTGCTTCTAAAATAACTGTCTGTATGTCCTCATCGGCGAATTTTAACACATGCATTGATTTTCCTCTCAATTTTGGCTCAGTGCCTTTATCTGTTTCTTAAAAAGTCAGGGTCTGGTTTTATTTTGCTTTTAATTTGGTTATTGAAATTAATGCTGCTGGATGATGTTACCAACAGTGGGAGATTTCCCACGAGTCTGAGCCTCTTAGCACAGTGTTTAAGCTGCAGTAGAGTAGCCAACACTCTGCTGAAGACCTGAGTTTAGTCCTGGTGGATTCAGATAGTCTGTTCAAGATTGACTCGGACCTCCATCCTTCCTGGGGCAGTAAATGGAGCACCAGCTCGCTGGATGTGTGTGTAACGTGCCTGATTGTGTTGCAAACTGCCCAGAGAGGGCTTTAAGCACTATGAGGAGATAGATAAGCAGCACGCTTTGCTCTGCTTTTGATCTTATGCAAGTCCGACCATCGGACAGAAGCAGGAAGGCTCTCAGAAGCAAAAACCGACTCCCTGATGGTGACATCATCACCCTGATACAAGCATAATTTGTCCCACCAATACACCATTCCTTCAGTATAAGAAGGAGGACATCTCTCTCTTCCTGTGTGGGTATTTAACTCCCTGATGGTGACATCATCACTCTGATACAAGCATAATTTACAGAACAGTAAATGTCCCACCAATACACCTTTCCTTCAGTATAAGAAGGGGGACATCTCTCTCTTCCTGTGTGGGTATTTGTCTGTGCAGATGTGCGTGGACACACATGTGTTGGCCAGCCTGCCTGTCTGTGGGCATACTCTTGTGTAGCATCATAAAGGCTGTGTATGGAAAAATGGGTTCACAGCAGACATTTGAAATGCGAGTGAGGGTAGAAAGCGGGGTGGTTGTTTTCCAACTGTGTTTGCCCTGGTGCCTGTGATACCTCTTGCCATGAAAATTAAAACACACACAAGCCTGTGTTGTGGCTCTCGGTGTCAGCGCTGTTAGGCAGTCAGATGCACCCCATAGTCCAGACGTACGCAGCCCTCCTGCAGCCCCGTCTTGCAGCTTTTCGCCAAAACCATTCTGCAGAAGAATCTCTCCCTGGTCAAATGGAAAGCCACCCCTTGCCGATGCCTTTTGTCCCCGATTCCTTGACTCCCAGGGCCGGTCTCCTCTGGGGCTGCCGCAGGGAGGCCTGGCCAACCGACGGCCAAGCACCGAAGCAAGAGGACTCTCCCGGAAGCCTCGAGCCCGGCCGTCTCTCTGCTCCCTGCCAGGAAGTCCTTCTTGGGAGTAGGTAAACAGCCTCCTCTTTGGGTAATGGACCTCTGGGCCCAAAAGAGGCAGAGCAGCATGCTCAAGGCACCCTTCACAGCACATGCGATGGCAGCACGCACCAGAGCACCCTGTCCCACACATCCTTCCCTTCCCGCTGTCTCGCGTGTTCAGTTGCTCGTTTACTGCCTGGGGATAGGAAACAGACACGGCGGCGGGATAGGCGCTCACAGCCAGCACCCTAACCCTAGTGCTGTTCCCCATGCATTGGAGGTCCCTGAGGGGCCTGCCCCCTTCCTTACACCCGTCTCTGCCCTTCCTGCCCCCCACCCCCATCTCCCCATAGCCCTCTTGTGCAATGCTTGGTCTCCTTCTGCCTTTGTTCATGAGCGCACAGGGAACAGACCGCCTGGGTTTCAACAAGGGAGGCTGGAGTGGCCGCTTCGCTCCTGCCTGTGAACGCATCCTGGAGAGAGGGAGGAGGAGAAAGGCGGTGGGGGGCTGCCTGGCCGCCGGCATGGCCTCCTGGTTCCTGGAAGGGAGTTGCGCTCTCAGGAGCAGAAATGTTTCAGCCGCCTCGCCATGTGTTTCTGCAAAATGAATGAATAAATAAAAAGCCACGGAAGCAACTGGTTCTGCTTGATCCAAGTTTCCTTCCACTGCAATTAAACAGTCTGCCCTCCTGCTAGTTACTCTGCGGTTCTCAGGAGCCAGTGGGAGAGTAGATTTAATCCTTGTTTGATTGCTGCGCAAGTAAACCGTCTCTCCAGGAGCAGGGAGGTGCAAATACCTGCCGTGCGAACTAGACCTGATGGTGTCCTGCTTTGTTGACGGCTGGGCCTGGGGAAAAAAACACGCTTCATGGAAGGATCAGACCTCAGTAGCCAGCACTGGCCTGCCGTTGCAGGTGGTTTTCCTGAGCCAGCTGAAGGCTGACCTGGCTACCCTCCCAGACCAGGCTGCTGTTGGCCTTCTTTAATAGAACATCTGTGCTCCAAAGTGCTTCTGATGATCAGAGATGTGGAGATGAAAGCTTGGAGGGTCAGTGGGTTAAACGCTTTCTAAGCTGAGCTGCAGCTGTTTCTCCCATGCCGGGGGGGGGGGAATAGGCATGCCCCACCTGCCAGTCCTCAGGAGCGATAGCATCTGGACCAGGCCGCTTCCTCCTCCACACCCTTCTTTGACCCCCTTCTTGAATGGTGTGCACATTGACGAGCTAGCCTGCAGGATGGTTCTTCAGATCTTCCTCCCTGGCCCTGTGGCCACACCGCCTCTGCTGTATTCCAGCTGCCAGTCTGTGCCTCCAGGAGGAGAGCTCAGATTTCGCCCAGATGCTCCTGTGCTTCCCTGTGATCCACGTGCCAAGCAGTGGATGGAGCCCTGTGGGGCCTCTCTGGCCAGGCCGCCTGGCATGAATTGAGTAGCCACGCAGGTCGGGAGCTCTTGCTTGAATGGGAAGTGGCTGCTTCCCGCGTTGCAGGCTGGTTTAGTGTGACTTGACTGTTCCTGGCAAAATAAGAACAAAGAGGAGCCCCCTTCCTGCCATTCCTTGGTCAGAGGCCTCCTTCCAAGAAGCTTCTCCTCCTCTCCCACGAACAGCAAGAGGGGGGCCCTCCCTCCCATTGACCCTGTGAGGGGGGGGGAGCCTCTCCCAAGGCAGCTGCAAGCTGCCCAGAACCCCTCCTCCTCCTCCTCCTCTGTGCCCTCAACCTGGATCAACCCCTTCCTGCCTTTTCGTGACAGCCAGAGCAGCCCTTTGGCTTGAGATGCTGGACAGCCAGGGAGGAAGATCTCAGAGGCTGTTCTCACCTGTCCTTGATCCATCGCAGCTCCAGAACCATCAAGAGATGAAAAGTCAAGGCCCTTGGAGAAGGCGGAGGAGCAAAAGGCAGCGGGGAGGGGGGAGCCTCGTCCTGCTCGCCTGTCCCCTTCCTTTGAAAGCCTCCGGGTACATTCAAGCAGGGGGCGAGGCCTCTGCTGGGGCTTCCCTTCCCTTCGCCGTTTGTCGGCCAAAGCATTTGGGGGTTCTGGTGCCTTCCTGAGCAGCAGTGCTTCACACAAGGCTCTTGGGCTTGGTGGCTGCATGTGCACATGTACACACACACGCACACACACCCTGCACGCCCCCTACTGCCCTTGTGGTCATCCACGGAAACAGACGGGTGGGCTCTCGTCTGGTGGCAGCGCCACCTACAGGGGATCGGAGCAGTTGCCCTCTAGCCTGCCCTAGAGCCACCGGTGGTCCGCTTTGTGCTGGCCTCCTTCCCTTTGGACCCTCATCCCCACCCCACCCCGTTGCTCCCCTGGCACCAGTGTGCTAGCGGTCGTGGGGCGACTCTCAGGGCCCGTCTTCTGCAAGGCAATGGAAGTGTGGGTGCTCTCTGGGGGGTTTGGTGCGGTGCAGGGTGAGCAGAATTGGCCACAGAGCTACTTCACAGTCCTTCACTGCACCAGTGCTCCCCTCCCCTCCCCTCCAGGAGCTCTGGAGCCACGTGGTCTTGCACGCCCAAGGCGTAGGGTGTTGGGCACATGATGGAAGAGACAGACACGTGTGCCCTTTGCCCCAAGTGGTTGTATGATCAAGGGAGGGGCCCCAGCAAAGGGGTCCTGTTAGGGAAACGATGGGACTCGTAGAAGGGGAGGAGTGTCGCTGGGGTGGGCAGGGATGCCTAGGAATCTGTGCACAGAGAAGAGGGGTTGGCAGTGGGCCCCATCTTACTCCCCACCCCCAGGTATCTGAGAAATGTCTGCTCTTTCATTCCAGAAACCAGAGAAGACCGGACCAAGAGGCTCTTCCGACACTACACGGTGGGCTCCTACGACACCTTCACCTCTCACAGGTGAGCTCTGAGGCAGGCGCCTCCTGGACTCTGCACGCAGGCTTCTTTCTGGAATCCACCTGAGGGAAAGGTGCCCCTCCTCAAATGGGGCCAGGCTTTGATCAAGGCTTGCACGCCTGGGGGTTGGAACTGGGGTCCTGACGCTGCGTGCTGCAGACAGCAAAAGCGATGAAGAGCGGGTGGGGTGGGGCAGAGTTTGGAGAGGGCTGTGCCGTGGCTAGGGGAAGGGGTGCTTTTTATGTTCCAGGAAGAAAGTGCGGCATGAGACTCATCGTGGCATCTCCATCATGCCAAAATTCTCTGAAAAGTGGGTGACATAAGCTGGGAAAGGCAGGGCTCAAAAATGCAGAAGCCTTGAACGTGTGCCAGCGGAAAGGGTGTTCTCGTGGGGAAGGAAAGGCGAGGAGGGGGCTGGAGGGATGGGCGGGCGTGGAAGGTCAGCTGGGCTCATGGGATGCCATCTGGAAGGTACCCGGGCGGGGGCTGGACGCCTCGGAGAGCTTGTAGCCAGCTGTTGGCATCACACGCAGGTGTCCGTTGCCTGTAGCCACAGTGCACAAGCGTGTCTTCCTGGAGGAAGGGGCAGACGGGCCCCGATGAGCAGACAGGTTGGGGCAGATGCTGTGCCTCTTTCAATCATAAATTTGGATGTGGGGGAGAGGAGGGGGAGAAGGACCACCGCTTCGCAAAGAGTCCTCATGGGTCATTAACATCCTGCCACAAACATATTTCTTGAACGTGTGGCAGAACCACACTGGGGTGGAATGGAGAGAAAGCCTATTTCTCCCTCCTCTTTTTCTCTCCCAGGGAAGATCAGAGTGCTCTTGCAGGGGCTGGGCATGTGCGTCTGGAGGCTGTGGGATGGCCGGCAGCGGGGGCTGTGGGGGGGCTGCCCTCACAGCGGGGGTGGGGGGGAGGAGAACGGCCTGTTGGAACTGGGGGTGAGCAGAGGCACCTGGCCTGAGTTGCATCCCTCTAACTCAGCCCCTCAGGTGAAGCTGAGGGTGCCACGAAGCAGGTGGGAGTTGTGGGGCGGATCCTGTTCCCCCTATCAGCTCTCACTCAGTAGAGACAGCCTGACTCGGAAGCTCAGCCCCAGAGGGGCAAGGCTTGAGGGGAGGCTTGGAGGGGCTCCAGAGCATCGGCCACTTCTGAACAGCCCTCGGGGGAGGGGGGGTCGACTGGAGAACAGCTGCTCCCATGCCAAAGTGAAGCCCAGGGCGATCCTGCCTTCACGGTGTCTCCTGTTTCTGCTCTCCAGAGGTGTCTCAGAAGGTCTCCCCGAGACCCTGCTTTGGTCACATGCGCAGGGCAAAGGGTCACTGTCCCTTAGATCCTGATAAAGGTGGGATGGACTGGGGGCTGCACGCTGACTTCATATGCCCATCCGGGCATTCCAGGGTGGGCTTTTGAGGAGGACACAGCAGGGCTATCCTTCCTGTCTGCTAAAGAACCCGAGACCAGCCCTCCTGGCTCAGACCGACTGCCCATCTCTATCCGGCCCCTCTGAGGAAGCCCTGCCTCCCGGAGGGCCCCACGTCCTGCAACACTGAGGTGTTCTGCTTCTGGTCCCACAGCATCAATGGGTAGTGTGGGTGGCACCAGCCACCTAAGCCCATCTGTTCCTCCCAGTCTGCAGAGGTGGTGATTTGAGGTGTGTGTGTGTCTGCCCAGGACGTCCTTCGTCCATCTAAGAAAGGAAGTGGGAAATCCAGCTAGAATGGCCCAGCCATTCTGCCCCACCAGCCCTTGCGGCCATAAGCTGCCCCGGTACATAGTAGCCACTGTGGTGGTTGCTAGCCATTGGTAGCCCCTTCCCTTTATCTGGCCCCCTTCAGCGTCAGTTGAGGGACCCCACTGAACTCTGACCTTCCAGAGAGCACAAGAAAACTTGCACCCACCGGGGATCCTTCCCCATGGAAGTGGCCTGACCTCTCAAGTTGCTCAAGGCTCAGCCATGTGGTTCCATGGGCCCATCAAGGCACGCTCTCATCCCGCAGCTCAGTTTTTCTCCACCCTGAGTCGCAGCTGCCATCCAGCATTTGATGCAGGAGTCTTTTTGCGCTCACCGCAGGCTGGCCTGGGGCCTTTGGGCCTGCTAGGTGGGCTCTAGCCACTGAGCGCTGCTCTCCGTTGGTTAAGTGGCGTGGCCTCGGCAGCTTCAGCTCCATGAAATTCCATGCACAGAGAGAGAGAGAGAGAGAGAGAGAGAGGTGTACAAAAGGCTCTGGTGGGCAAAGGGTGGAAGGGAGTGATCTGAGGGCAGCCCCAGAAAAGAAGGAACCTGGGAGAACTGCAATGATGATGATTTAGAAGTTGTTTTGATTCAGTCAGGGGATTAGCTTTCTGGGAGGAGAGATTAAAAGAGCGCCTGCTCTCAGGCCATCTGGATGGTGTCGTCCTGGGGGGCGAGCGAGTGGGCCCCTGGGTCCTTGCCGCCAATGAGCAGGCCGTCTGCTGGCTTGCACCTTTACAGAGGTGGTCCTGGGGGTGGGCAAATTGGTCCCATCGGAGGGAGGGCCCCACTCCTCCTCTCATGCCACAGAACGCAACGCGTTCGGTTTGGTTTACCTTCCCTGTACCCACAGGCCCAGTGGTTCTGGAAGGTTCCGTTGCATGTGGCAGAGTCATCTCAGCCGGCCGTGGGCATCCTCAGAGGAGGCTCAGGATAGGAACGCAAGGCTTGACGGTTTTACTGAAGATGATGAACCCATGAGCTCTAGTCATGGCTGAAGCAATCTGCAACATGTGGGTCGGGGTAGGGGGTGGGGAGGAAATGCCCTGGGAACACCGTAGTCACCTGCTGTTCTCAATTGTGTAGTTTTTAAGACACCCAGAACAGGAAAAGGCCACTTGTCTCCAAAAATATCCCTGAAATGGCATTTTAAAATAAGGTTTTGGGGAAATGTTACTTGTTATTCTAAAGCACATAGTAGCACATTATTAGGAGTATTAAAATGCAAAAAAAGAGGAGCCTTACTATTCCCACATTACCACGAAAGACAATTCAGTGCCATTAATAGGACAGGTCTTAAGGGCTGGTGGTCCTGGAAGATTCAGGTTGGATCTTCCCCTAAGCGTGTGTGGGGTGGCAGGAGGAGTTTTCCAGCACCTAAAAGTAAGGCTTGTTTCAAGTCAATAAGGCCCATTCAGTGGCTGGGCTCAAGGCTGCGATTGGGCAGAGGGTGTCTGCTGTTTGCCAGCCGGGGTTCTCATGAAGAACAGGGTGAAAGGACAATCCTGAATGGGAAGGTTGGCTTTAGCTGGCATTTTTTTCCCAGCCCTTTATTGTTCTCAGAAATGCATTTTGCTTTCTGGTCTGTGCTGTGACTTAAGGGACAAATAGAAAGGGGTGACACTCTTGCAGAAAGATGCTCTGATCATCACTGGGGGAGGCACACAAATGTGTTTGTTTTGGCTTCTTGGTTCTTGTTGGATTGTCTGATTTATTTGTTTTTAGCTTGGCTGCTAGCGTGCCTGTCATAGGCATGGATTTCATAGGGTTGCTACGTTTTACGGATTTTTTCTACCCTGGAGAAAGCAGGCCAAACTTCACTGGCATACGGGCATTGCCAGTCGGTTCCAGCCGTGAAGACCTTGGGCACAAAACTACTGTCCCAGTGGAAATACGGTTTCAGCTTTCATCCCAAAATTAAACAGAATTAACCAAATAAAAATGGTTGACCTCCTGGAGAAAGAAGTTATACTCATCATCTCTGAATTTTAACCCGATCAGGACGACGTTTGCAACCCGCATTACACCATAGTGGTGAGCCAGGAGTTCAAAAAAGCAGAGACCCCAGTCGTGACCTGGGGAGGGCCCTTCGCTCCCGGGCCAAAAAAGGGGCACCCTAGAGACCCTTTCGAGTGGGCCGAAGCAGGGACCTGCCGGTCCGGGTCGGTTTCTCTGGGCAGGAGGAGGCAGGGCCCTGGGCGGTCCCCTGGGGGTCAAGCAGGCTGAGCTGGGGAGAAACCTCCCCACCTGGAGCGGAGGCCTTCGGAAGGGCCGGTGCTGGGGCTGGCCCTACCCGCGCTGGGAAGGAGCAGTTGATGGGCTGGGCAATGACCTCTAAGTAATGCCCCCCACCCCCCGCTTTTGTTGTAGTAGGAGTAGGAGGGGAATGGAGTTACATTTGACAAGTTGATATAACAAATAGCAGCCATGTTCCTTTACTGGGCAACATTTTCCGTTTACTTTCAAAATTTATCTTTAAAGGGCATTTACATTATTTTAGATGCATTTTTGGCTGGAATTGTGCATGATCTTTATCATTCTCTTATCAGCCTGTGTTTTATTTTTTCCTTCCCAAAAAGCGGTGGAAAACAATAACAGGCTGTGCAGAAAGTAATGCAGCAAGTTACTTGTCGCAGCGCCTTAAGGAATCATTTCAGAGGTGAATTAATTTTTGGAAAGCAACTCCCTGGGGGGGGGCCCTCCTGGTAGGAGTTGGCTGAGATGCCTTCGAGGGACCTCGTTAGGTGACCAGATAGATGGGGCCGTTATTGGGTGCTCGTCTTCTGAGTCTGGAGAAGGTGGAGGGGCTGGATCCTTGGAGGGGCCGCAAGGGCAGGTGGAAGCTCCTCCCTCAACCCGGGCAGCCAGGATCCCTCCCCAGGTGAGGCTCCCTCGGGGGGACCTGATGGAGGCCGCAGGCCTGACGAGAGCGTTCTCTTGAACCCTGCCATTCGCAGGCACAGCTGGGGCCTTGGTTCGTCCCTTTCCGTCTGTAGCTTCGATGGTAAATTGACACACTTGGGCGGCTTGTTCAGGGCTTCCACACATCGGAGGGCTGCCACTGCCTGTGTGGGAGCCGGGTTGGGGGGAAGCAGTCCAAAGCAGAATTTGTTTGGGCTGCTTTGCTTTTGCCCGAAAGCTGCCTTGAAGGCCCTGTTGTGCTGGAGAAGCAGCAGGGTGTTAGAGTCTAGAACAACAGGAGGCCGTCAAAGAAGCAGCTCGACCTGAGCAGGGCCACGCCGGGTGCCAAGGCAGAGGTGGGGCAGGTTGACTTTTCCGTCTACAACTCTCCAGACCAAACAGGACCCGACCCAACCCACCCGGGGGTGGGGGGGGCGGGGAAGGTGACTAGTGGCTCCCGAGCATGGCGGTGCCAGCCAAGGGATTCTGGGAGCTGGAGTAGAAGAGGCTACAGGTCCCAAGAGGCACCTGTCCTGCCTTGCCTCGGGCCAGCTGTTCCACTTCTGGAGAGGTTGAGCTGACTCCGCGCTCCTGCCCCACTCCCTCCCCTCCAGGCTCCCTGCCTTTCCTGGTTTATTCCTATTTCAAATGTGTTCATTTACATCCTAGGAGGTGGTTTGAGAGGGAAGCAGTCCAAAAGACCATTGGCATGTTTGATGTGCTCCCTTGAATCCCCAGGGGGAGCCCCTTGTGCTGCCAAATCATGCGCCAGCCTTCAGCACCATCTTTATTTTCAAATATAGGCCTCTGAGATGTTCATAGAAAACAAGGAGCAGCTGGAGCCCCCAGTGCTTCAAAGTGGGAAAGAGAAAGGAACTGGAGGCTGGTACTGGGAGAGCCTGGTGGGGGGAGGGGAGCAGAAAGGGGGGTTCACGGTGGGGAGCAAGGCAGGGACCTCGTCTTCAATGCCAACGGGGAGAGGAGAGTCCCCTGGGGGCTGCTGGCAGATCTCCAGGGGATCTGCAGTGTGTCAGGCTGGATCCCCCAAGCGGGGCCGGGTTCATTCCTGGAGGTTTTGCAGCCGGAGGCTGACAGCTAGAGGATGGAGCCCCTCCCACTCCGACTGGACTCTGGGACCAAATGTGAGACTGG